ATACAGAGTCGTCATTGTGTAGAATGAAGTGTAAGAAAGTGTCTAGAGGGCTTAGTGGCAACCTTGCGTACAACAGATAAAATGGGCTGAAGTTCGTTGTTTCATGTTTTGCCGTGTTGTACGCGTACGTGATAAAAGGCAGCACTTCATCCCAGTTCTTATGATTGGAAGAAACGTACATGGCAAGCATGTTGGTCAGCGTTCAGTTTGTCCGTTCAACGAGGCCATTCGTCTTTGGGTGATACGGTGTGGAATGACGGAACTGTGTCGTACACATGCGTAGTAATTCTTCAACGGCATCGGCAGTGAACTGGCGGCCACGGTCGCTGATAATAACACGCGGTGGGCCATGGCGAAGGACCACGGAGTGAAGCAAGAAGTCCGCCACGGATGCAGCGGTAGAAGAGGGAATAGCTGCGGTTTCGGCATACCGCGTAAGATAATCTACGCAGACGATTATCCAGCGCTTCTTATTGTTAGATAACGGAAATGGACCCATAATGTCAATTCCTACTTGTTCAAAAGGTGTGCTGGGTGGTGTTAACGGCTGGAGAGGACCTGGTGTAGCGGTGGCCGGGCGCTTGTGACGTTGGCACGTCTCGCAGCTAGCGACGCAACGCTTCGTCGTTTCGTACATCGTGGGCCAGTAAAAGCGTTCCTGCGTGCGGTTCAGCGTTCTAATGAAGCCGAAGTGACCGGACGTCGCATCGTCATGCATGGCACGTAGAACTTTGGAGCGAAGGCTCTCGGGGACAACTAGAAAAAAACGTGCTCCAGGTCGGGAGTAGTTAGTTTTATATAGCAACTTGTCTCGGACCGTAAAGCGACCGCTGTGTTGAGAGGCACATGCGGCGGCAAAAAGAAGATCCAAGTTGAGATCGTTGCGTTGTTCTCTCTGGAAATCAGCCGCGTTGGGGAACGTGCTTGTAACAGCAGCAAGGCAGTCGTCAAAATTCTCAGCATCGCAGTCAGTAGTCGCAAGAGGAATCCGGGAGAGGCAGTCTGCGTCAGCGTGACGACGGCCGCTCTTGTACGACACCGTAAAGTCGTATTCCTGAAGTCGCAGCGCCCAACGTGCGAGGCGGCCAGAGGGGTCACGCAAACCGACCAGCCAGCATAACGAATGGTGATCGGTAATTATCTTAAATGGCCTCCCGTAACGATAACAACAAAACTTCTGTACAGCGAAAACAGCTGCCAGACATTCCTGTTCCGTAACTGTGTAATTGCGTTCTGATTTGCTCAGGCAACGGCTGGCATATGCCACGACATGCTCTGCACCATTGTGGCGTTGTACAAGCACCGCGCCTACACCGATACCACTAGCGTCTGTGTGGACCTCAGTCGCTCAAGATGGATCGAAGTGACGCAACAGGGGTGCTGACGTTTGTACTAAACTTAAGTTGTGAGAATGCGGCGTCACACTCTGGTGTCCAGTTGAAGGTTGCATCCGGTCGCAAGACGTTTGTCAGTGGATACACGATCTCCGCAAATCGTGGAACAAAACGACGAAAATATGAGCATAGGCCGACAAATGAGCGAAGTTCTCGTGCGGACTGCGGTGATTTAAAAGAGCTCACTGCTATCTTGCGAGGATCGGGTCTGACGCCATCCTTGTCGACCAAGTGCCCCAGCACGAGAGTTTGACGTTCGCCAAAGCGACATTTTTTAGAATTCAGAACCAGCCCGGCTTTTTCGATGCAGTCGAGAACAAGACTGAGACGGTGGTTATGTTCCTCAAACGTACGGCCCAAGATAACAACATCGTCAAGGTAGCACATGCATATCTCCCATTTTAGACCACGTAATAACGTGTCCATGAATCTGCCAAAGGTGGCTGGAGCATTACAAAGGCCAAAAGGCATGACATTAAATTCAAATAAGCCATCCGGAGTTATGAAAGCAGTCTTTTCTTTGTCGCCGGGTTCCATAGATATTTGCCAATAACCTGACCGCCAATCAAGCGTTGAAAAATAGGAAGCGGCATGCAAGCAATCTATGACGTCATCAATCCGTGGTAAGGGATATACATCTTTCTTCATCACAGTGTTTAGACGCCTGTAATCTACGCAGAATCTCCAGGAGCCATCCTTTTTCCTGACAAGAATTACCGGGGCTGCCCACGGGCTGGACGACTCTTGCACGACCCCTTTGTTCATTATGTCCTTTACTTGTTCGGCGATAACTTTGCGCTCAGAGGATGACACTCGGTAGGGCTTTTGGCGGATGGGGTGTGCAGAGCCAGTGTCTATTCTGTGACGAGCGCGAGACGAGGGTAACTGAAGGGGTGCATCTCTATGTTTGAAGTCGAAAGCCGAAACCAGCAACATGCCGGGAAAGGACCTGCACCAGCGCTTGCCGTTCCGTCGTACTGAGAGTCTTGCTGATCATAGCGAGCATTAGATCTTCATTATGGCGAATATCACAAGCAGAGGAAGAGGGGGGGGGAGGTCCGTAGCTATTGCTGCTATCGAGTTGCATGAGGCTTCATCAAAGAGAGCTATCTTCATCCCGCGAGGAAGCACAACCGGCGTGGCAGAACAGTTCAGCGCCCACAATGTTGCTACTCCTTTCGTCATGCACACAACAGAACAAGGCACAAGTATGTCTTCTTAAAACAGTTCTTGCGCAGAGGCCCCACTACGAGGTCAACACAAGCATCATCAACCGCTGTGGAAGAGAGTCGAACGGGTGTCAGGCACCAAGATGGTGCCATCACTTCATCAATCACACTAAGTGTGTTCCTGTCTTCGCCACGGTAGTCTTCTTCGGAAAGCGACAGTAGAAACAAATTGTTTAGTGATATTTCCCCACTACCACAGTCAACGGAAGCACCGCATTGCTCCAGGAAATTGATACCAAGAATGACATCGTGCGAACAACGAGATAGAACCAGAAATTCCGATACAAATACTTTTCCAGCCAATGAAACACTGACAGCACATACACCAAGAGGATTAAGCCACTCGCCGCCTACACCACGGAAGGTGATTGTATCGTCCCATGAAAACATAACTTTGCGACCTAAGCGGTTTCAGAAGGCGAGGCTCATCACAGACACAGTCGCCCCAGTGTCAACGAACGCCATCGTCGGTATTCCATCAATAAACACATTCACTTTGTTTTTGATCATAACAATAGGCAGAGGTATATCTTGAAAAGACCGTCCGGCGACCTCACCTCCATTGGCCGCGGATGCTAGTTTCCCAGCGGCGGCGAAGAACGACGCAGAGGAGACGGCGAGCGATGAGAACGGTTGGATGGAGGTGTCAAACTCCGCTCGGATGCTGGCGAATAACTGCGTCTGGTCTCGTGCAAAAAACGGTCCCTTGGAAACAAGTCGGTTGTCCGCAGGTCATATGAAGCACCGGGTCTTAGTGGCGAAGACATGGCTGGTGTCCTTCGTGATTGGCGGTGTTGTTGGCGGCAATACCGAGCAATATGCCCAGTGAAACCACAGTTGTAGCACACGGGAGGGTCACGGTTTATACTATATTCCTGGGCCGCTGCTGTCGGCGAGGAAGTTCGTTATCACGCGAAGAACGGGTTTCTGCCACTCTCTGGAATTCATTGTATTCGTAGTAGGGTTGGTCGTAGGGTTGGTACTGTCCTTGCCGCAGAGGGACGTAGTCCGGCTGAGAGCCCTGAGTATAAGAATGTGGCTGTGCTCGTCATGATCGTGCGTCATAGGCAGGGCCTCTATCGTATAGACGTGGCTGATACTGAGGTGTGGCATCAGAATCCTCAAAGCCCTCCGCCACTCGGTGCGAGGAGAATGAAGCAACGTTTCGCTCGAACTCTGGTGGCTGATAGGGGGGTTGAGTGCTTGGGCGGTTTGCCACTTGCGCGTACAAGCCGAGTTCTTCACGTACTATCTGCCGGATTGTTGTTGCAAGATCAAGCGCCTGGTTGCTGTCTATGCTCGCGATGGTCGTCACATTGGGTAGCCTGCCGAACTTTGGCGTGATGCGCCTCGTCTTTAGTTGCTCAAAATTGCGGCAATGACGAATGACATCGGTGACAGATGTCAAGGTGTCTTTCGCGATGAGGAAACTGTAAACATCCTCGGCGATTCCTTTTAGAATGTGCCCGACTTTGTCTTCCTCAGACATTCCGGGGTCAATGGTCCTACATAGCTTTATGACTTCCTCAATGTAGGTCGTGCAAATTTCACCTGGCATTTGTGCGCGTTGCATTAGCGTCTGTTCTGCTCTTTTCTTTATCGTTGTTGGGTCGCCGAAGCGCTCTTTGATTTCAGAAACAAATCTGTCCCATGTCGTTAGCGTTTCCTCCCGATTCTCGTACCACATTAATGCAGTATCGGTCAGAAAGAACACGATGTACAAAAGTTTAGAAGCGGCATCCCATTTGTTAGCGGCGCTCACCCGTTTGTAATGGATGAGCCAAGCCTCGACGTCTTCATCTGGTCTGCCGGCAAAGGGACGAGCATCTCTCAGTTGTGGAGCCGAACTGGTCGGCGCAGAAGTCGAGAGGGGTCTGTGTTCATTTGCGTTGTGGGATATGTCCAGCCCAGATGGATTCGGTGGAAGTCCAGCAATGCGACGGCTCCGTCGAAGAACTTGCGGTTCACCTTCCGTCTTCGGGTGTCGATTACCCAGCACGTCCACCACAACTGTAACAGCGAGCTGTGATAAGATGGTTTTATTTACAGGAGGTGAACGATGGTCGTTTGCGGCAGCACACTGCGATCGTGCCAAGACTCTTCGTCTTCCTCTGCTTCTCTTCTCTACCCTTTTCTAGTCGGTTACAATATATATATATATATATATATATATATATATATATATAAACAGTTAGAGTTTTGCGTCCCAAAACCGCGATAGGATAATGAGGGAGGCCGGTATAGAAGGCTGCTGATCTTGGCCTGCTGGCGTTATTTAACACACACCGAAATTGCAGAACACGGGCATTTAGCTCGAAGTAGGATGAGTCGAGCTGTAGTGTCTTGTACGCGAACGCCGCAAGAAGTAATCACTTACCTGGGCGATCTGGTCAAAGCGGCCAAAGAGCTCGTTCAACGTCTGCACCAGATCCGATGCGGAGAGTTGCTCTGACAGTCTGGTGAAGTTGACAATGTCCGCGTACAGGATACTGCGAAAGAAACCGGAAATACAGGAAATGGTTTAGCTGCGCATAACCAACTGTCATTACGGGTTGTAGAAAAATGATGTTAAGGAAGGCGAAATATTCAACGGTATGCCTCTATCGCCATTTTTTAGACATATGTAAATGTAGTATGCGGCGTAGATCTACTGTGCTGGGTAATTCGAACACTATAATAGCACACACAGGAAGGGGCGGGTCATTGTGGTGGTAAGCACTCAACGTTACTGTACCGCATGCACGTGAGGGGGAGATAGCAAAGTACAAAAGCGTGCGCACTCCTTTCATCTTTGGCAGTTGCTCGGGGGATTTCAAGTTGACTGGTTGTGCCGCCAGTGATCTCCTACGCCAGCGCAGTTCTGGCCGACTGCGTAGATCTCACCGACTAGTTCACCCTTCGCGACCTCCTGACGCTGTGCAGCTCTCGTCCTGTGGTGCCTCATCCTCGGACTTGTTCGACCGGCCCAACTTTCCTATCTCATTCTTTTTCTGTCACTTGCCTGTCCCATTTCATTATCTATATCTTTCCACTATTTTTTTAGCCCTCCTTCCCTTAAAAGACACTGCGCCATGTTGCCCAAGAGGCAGAAGAAAATTAGGTGCTTTCCTCGCCTTCTCAAGAATCACACAATCACGCATTCAGTCTCCGTTCAATTCATGACGCTGTGTGTGATGACTTCGAGGTGCTCTGAAGCGGGCGGTGCCACACTCTTACACATCAATCATTTCACAGTTAAATAATTGTGATCAAAGTACATTTACTTGCAGCGTTACAGATTGAGACAAGAGCAACGAAACAACCATGACGAAGTGCAGAAACATCTATATGCCGCTCCGCTTTCCACATCCATGTATACTTACTTCACTGACGCATTCAGAGGGAAGTGTAAGATTGAGACCTCTCTGAAATTTAGGTTTTTCTGTGTATATATACACTCACAGATGAAAACGCAAGTCTGAACATGCATTAGGTACGGTTAAACACTGGCGCCTGTGGAAAAAAAATTCTAGCCGCACCTCTAACCTACTTGTATACGCTAGCTATATAGTGGCCAGAGTCCGAGCCTGTTTATATCATAATTGTAACTAATGCCAGCATTACAGACTTAAAAAACGAAGGTCACATGAAGACAGCTACACATAATGGGCAAGAGACGATATGTGCTACAGCAGTTTTCAGTATTTTTCATGAAACACCAAAAAACAAAAAGAACAGGAAATACTGACGAGCGCTTAAATGTCATTATGTTCAGTGAAAAAAAAAACTATTTCTTTGTGTGATGATCGAACTCACTTCAATTGTATTGCATCCATAATATGTCAAAAATGAATGTGAGTCGTGTAAATTTTTAAAATTGACATCATAAAAGTGTACTTGATAACTGAAAGCTGCGCCATGGAGTCGCGTTAGAGAGCACACAGGCTCATTTCACGGCCAACATGGAGAAAGCAGGCTGGAAAATAGATGGCCCAACAGGTGAAGAGTTGTGAAACCCAGTGGGCCTGAAAAGCCTAAACCTATAGCACTCGTTATAGAGCCAAACAAGGAAGCGAGGTCTTGAAATGTCAGGCTGTTCTGAAATGTTTTTTTTCTCCACTGCGCGGGTTTTAAAGAACGCATTTGACCCGAGAATTCGAGCACCGGGCATCTATGAGTGCTGCAAGCAAAAGGCAGGCGTGTGCTTTTGAGCCTATCCCACACTGACGCAAGGAAAACGTGTTCCTTCGGCATGAGGGCACCCACACGCAAGATTTTCACTGACGTTTTCTCGATACAAAGTGGGCGAAGAGCAGCCCTTCCCGCATTCTGTGCAGCGTCCGCCGAGAGAACGCCGCCTCACGCGACGCACACGGGGATTACAGAGCGCGCGACCCGGAAAGCCGGACTGTAAATACAAGTTTGGCCTGCAACGCAGTTACCGCGACCAGGTGAGGCAGGCACAAAGAAACGCGAGTCATCGCGAAGGGTTGCTGATGCGGCGCGCCGGCCAGAGTGCGTGCACTGAGCGGTGCGGGAAGGTGATGAAATGCATTTCGGTTCCGTCCTTCTGTCCACCACCCGCGCAGCACTCAAGGTTTTGGGATGGCACGGCTGTTATGCCACTGTCGCGTCCTCTTTTAGCCGCGGGAATGCTTGCTCCCTTTATCTGCGAATTATTCGCTTCCGCCAAAAGAGATGTTAAGTGCATGTGTCAAACCGGAGACTGAACAACAATGATCACGCAGTTGTAGTACTGTTTCGGGTCTTGTCTTCTATGAACCTCATCACACTAGCGTAGTAACAAATTATTCAAGCTCTTTTAACTTCTCTATGACACACTAACTATGGAGTAAAAATGTCGCAGCTGCATGTAAAGTAATTTTGTGTTACCTTCGAAAACGGCACAACGCTTGCACAACTAGATATCGATGCCGACGTAGATTTAATGAACTGCATATGACAGTCTTGTTAAACGACGCATCTAATATTTTATCCTGCTAATTTTTCCTTTGTGGAAAATGACTGAGAAGATGCGGTTATAGTTTCGCATCAGTTTCTTTCTTTTTATCATGTTCTTTTCAAAGCTGGGTGCTGTCAGAGAATAAAGTTACACAGAGCAAACTTGCTTGGCTTCTGCTGTTCATGGAATGTCCACGCACGCCGTTGGTGGAAGTAAATCATAAAAACCATTACGATGGTGATTATTCATCATCATCATCACCTCCTCTTCCTCTTCTTCCTCTTTCTCCTGCTTCTTCTTCTTGTTTTTCTTCTTCTTCTTCTTCTTCTTCTTCTTCTTCTTCTTCTTCTTCTTCTTCTTCTTCTTCTTCTTCTTCTTCTTCTTCTTCTTCTTCTTCTTCTTCTTCTTCTTCTTCTTCTTCTTCTTCATCATTGTTTGTGTTTGTTTGTTTGTTGTCTGTGAACACTGGCACATACCCCTGCAAGAATTGACTGAGAAAGCTTGTAATAACCTACATGTAAACACCACATAATGTTAGCCAGTCTATTACTAAAAAGCACAAAAAATAGCAAATTATCTTTCAAAAATAAAATAACAATAAAATAAAGACGAAATATTATAAGAATGAGAGCTAATACTATATCAGAGGACTGAAATTTCGAGTAGACCAAACAGTTAAGTATACAGCACCCGATCAAAATCAAATCCATGTCCAACATTCATTCACATTGCCAATTATATCACAAGTATTTGTCAAATATATAATAAAGAATACGTTATATTGACATCCGTTTAGATTCTTGAATAAAAATACATATTTCATTCAATACGTTTCTGTGGCAATGTCCCAAGCCAGATGCACAGAAACTGAGAACATTGTTTTCCTCTAAGTTCAAAACTGCTTTGGAAAAGAGACAAACTAGAAGACTTTTTCTAATTATAGAATAATTCCAAAATGATATAAAATAGGTTCAATTGTTTCTGTTTTTTCGCAGATTGGGCACAGGGGAGACATCTGCAGAACTGCTCTGTGGAGGGACACCACTAAAAAATTAAGTCAAAATAACATCTAACTATCTAGATTGACTACAATAAGGTTTCCAGAGATATCTGAGGTGTTGATAGTCTGTCCATTTAGTAATACTATCCATCATATCTGTCTGAATAGTTAGTTTTTATATCTGATCAATACTGTGTATTCTATTTCTGGGAACCGAAATCATAGGACCATCAAGAGAAGCTCGGGTAATAAATCTGCCGTTTCACTTTACTGTATGCCACAGTTGCCTGGGACCCATACTAACTTCAGGCGTTTCAGTTGAGGCAGAAATATTGTGCGCAATGTCAAATATACTCTTGATTGTTTCGAAACTGTGACAGCTGTACACATAGAAAGAGAATCTGCAATGACGATTGCACTGTTTTCGCTTGAAGATAGTTTTTGGAGTGCCAAAATAATAGCCAAGAGCTCAGCTTCAAAAACCAGAGTGAAGTCTGCAGCCTTACTGAGAATGTCCAGCCGAAGTAATCGAGGCAATTCCTGCTACTACCGTTTTATTATTCACAGAAACAGTCCTTGGCTATTATGATATTTGTTTCTGCATGAACTCTGCAATATTTTATACTGGCATTCAAAAAAAGTTAAAGATTGGTACTGACACTTGTGGGAAAATATCATCATAGTCTATCGTAAGACTGCTATTTATTCTAATACTTTGAATTACCCATCTGAAGTTCACCTTTATGATTTCCAATTTTCTTTGGACAAAAATCATCATCATATTATTATTATTATTATTATTATTATTTACAGCCAGTAGGCTTTTGCGGGTTGTGAAAGGAAGTGCGATGAAGCGAAGTCCAATGTCGAGAAGCTCGTTCGAAAGGTACACAGGCGCACGTAATAGTCTAAGAAATTGGCCCCGCCGCGGTGGTCTAGTGGCTAAGGTACTCGGCTGCTGACCCGCAGGGCGCGGGTTCGAATCCCGGCTGCGGCGGCTGCATTTCCGATGGAGGCGGAAATGTTGTAGGCCCGTGTGCTCAGATTTGGGTGCACGTTAAAGAACCCCAGGTGGTCTAAATTTCCGGAGCCCTCCACTACGGCGTCTCTCATAATCATATAGTGGTTTTGGGACGTTAAACCCCACATATCAATCAATCAATCAATCAATTAGTCTAAGAAATTGGCAGATCCTACGTACAGGGAAAATTGATGATATGCGAAGCACTAATGAGGAAGGTTGATATGTCAACTTAAAATCAGCACAACGTTACGAGGCGCACTGAAGTAGTACACAGTAAACACATGTAGAAATGTTTGCATACTCAGGTATCTAAATAAGATGCAAGTATGTTGTTTATAGACGTGTAACGACGGCACCACCAACGTTTGCAATACCAGCCCCAGCAGTACCAGGCATGTAAATTATGCCGTACATGATTATCATGTTTGCGCCTGGCATTTGTGGTCGTCGTCCATTCACGTCTTGTAATGCCAAATTTGGTTTGTGTGAAGCTAGCGAAACTACCGCGAGTGCACCATGAGCA